CACCAGGATAGCAGGCAGATGGCAGAGTGTGGTTACCACAGCCACTAAAGAGAATATATTTATAATTCTTGAGTCAAAAAAGTCATGCTATAGTCATAACCTGACTAGAGAGTGAGATAAAAATCCCAGAATGTGACAACTGAAATAGAGGAATGGAGGGAAGGGGAGGCAGGGTGAGAAAAAAGGGTGTTAACGTCTTAATTTTCTCATGAGTGATAGGAAATCAAGACACACTTTCATTTCTGAAGTTGATAATATACTCATATCTATACTTCTCTATTTAAAGATAAAAGGTAACCAACCACCACAAGACAAATAGACCACCTCCCAAAAAAGAGCAAAAAAAGGAAGGGGTGAAAGGAAGAAGTGTGCTAAAACCTTAGCCAATGTATTAATAGCAAAAGGTTTTTAAAAAGTGGTGCAATATCAAACATCTGCTAAAAGGGAAAAACCCAAATTGGGCTAAAAGGAAGAAAAAAAAGGACAAGAAATTTAACAAGATATTTTATGCAAGAGGCACACCTAAAACAGACTTAAAAAATTGAAAATGAAAGTTTGGGCAATAAAATACTAAGCAATTGTAAGCTATAAAGACCAGCCCAGGGGCAGTGGCTCACATTTCTTCCTTTTCTATTTGTGCTCTGGTAAACATATATCCTAAGGGACCAGGGTAGGGGAAAGCAGAAACTACCTAGAAAGAGCATTCCTGTAATCCCAGCACTTTGAGAGGCCAAGGTGGGAGGATCGCTTGAGGCCAGGAGTTTGAGATTGGTGTGGGCAACATAGCAAGACCTGATCTCTAAAAAAATAAAAATAAAAAGATTAGCTAGGCCTGGTGGTGCGTGCCTGTAGTCCCAGCTACTACAGAGGCTGAGGCTGGAGGATCACTTGAGCCAGGAGTTTCAGGCTACAGTGAGCTATGATTGCGCCACTGCACTCCAGCCTGGGTGACAGAGCAAGAAGACCCAGTCTCAATCAATCAATAAGTCAATAAAAATTTTAAAAAAGTAAAGATCAAGGATCTAGCTATTAAATTCTACTTTGGTTTTAAGGCAAAGGCCATTACACAAAGTGTCACTATGCATATTAGGACACAAACTGTTGGGGGAGAGGCGTCCATAACGTTTTGATTGCAAAGCGCCCATTTCCCCAGTACGCGAATATCTTATTCAGTCAAGCAAAATGGACGCAATCCAACAGAAAAAAAAAGTAGACGAAGGACAAAGTCACAAAACATAAATACCAATAAACATTGTAAAAGATATTTGCCCTCAATAATGACAAACGTCTCCTGTGCTTATCAGATTGGCTAATCATACACAGAAGAATGTAGAGCAGCAGACACATTCACCACAGGAATGAAAGGTGTAAACTCACGCGGGCTTTTTTTAATTTGCTAATTAAATGTTTAATGTTATATCCTTTAACCTGCCCTTCCACATCCAGAAATTTATTCTTAGCAAAAAACAAAAACACTCAGATAAATGCTTGAAGTCTGTCAAAGCACTGAAAACATTTAAAATGTCAGATAAATGATGTCCTAAAAATCACAGCACATCTAAACCGGAAATTTTTAAAGAAAGCTCTCCTTATACAACAGAAGCAAGCAAAGAGCAAACCAGTATGTACTACATAGTCCATTCTCACCTAAAGCACCCTCAAACCCCTAAACAGAAAAAAAGCTCAACCACACTGATTTGTTTAGCAAGAGTACAGGGGAAAGATCAAGAAGACACAGATCGACTCCAACAGGGCTTCC